TTTTCCTATTGTGGCCCTTCCATGAACACATTATTTGTCTCCATACTGGAATACTCTTCAACTGTCTATTTTGAATGGAGGCAGTAAAACAAGGTAAACTATATTTAAATAGCTATTAGATTCAATATTTTTCTATTCAGCTGAAGTAAACTCAGCTCAGTAAACACATAGCAATCAGGTAACAACAAGTGTATGACTTACCTATAACACCTACTGGAAAAATAATATAAGCATTTGAAATAGTGAAAGGTTTTATTTGTATTTTTTTCTTGTAATGCTTATTTCTGTGTTGGTTTCTTGAACGTTTTCTGTGTTATGAACATTCTCAGCTTCCACTGTCTAAATGAATAGTAGTCATAGTGGACAGGGAAGTCACCACAGGGTTCGACAATGTGCCTTACTAGGGTACATTTTTTTCTCTTCTGTTTATAATCAGGACTTATTGTATCACAGCTTTTTTAAAAAGGGAATTTTTATTCTAGTTGTTTAGATTCACATTTAATTCCAGTGTCGCATTTAAAAAAAAAAAAAAAAAAAAAAAAAAAACAGAGAGAAAGAGAGGTTAAATTTAGATTCTGGTTTCTAGTTTACAATCTAATTAGCATTACATGCTGATAATCAATAAATTGACTGCTCCATCTCTTTAAATTTCTCTTTTCCAAAGTGTGGGAAGGAAAACTCAGGTTAATAATGTCTGGTAAGGAAGAATGCTATTTTTATCTTCTGTGTAGTTCGTTTTAAGCTTTATTACTCCAAGAATTTCTGAACGTTATCTATAAAAACAAAGTTGAAAGAGTGTCAGCTGAGTGTTTCAGAAAATGAAGTTCTTAACATGCCAGAAATATCCAAATTTTGTGTATTTTGTAATTTGCTGGTAAGTTGTCATAACATATTTTTTCAAAGTATAATACAGTAGCAGAATGCAGATTTAAATGCAGATTTTTCACAATACAATCAAAGAAAGATTATATGTATCAACACTTGGGCACATTATCTAACATTTGGCAGATTACAAGAATCCAAACCAAGTAACTGATGCTTAACTTCATTATAGTTTTGCTGAAGTGTTAATTAGGGATTGAAAATGTACAGGAAAATTATGTGAAGAACATATTTTAGTAAGGTACATAGGCAGTATTTCAGGGATATGTTGAATTTACTAAATTAAAAGATTTAATAAACCTGTTTTTCAGTGTGGAAAGTCTATTGCAGCTTTGTTACATACACAAAGGTGCAAAAATGGCACTGGGAATTGAACATTCATTCAGTATTGGAAAAGACTGGTAAAGTATGTACTTGTCCTAGCATAACATATATTCTATAATATATGATGTGTTTGTCCATAAAGTATATTATAATTTTTTAAATACTGTCATAATGACAAACCAGTTCTGTTTTCAAACCAGTCAAATCCAGATCTGCCCCTGTGTTTTTTGAGATTGGAAGCCCTTTGATGTCTTGATAAAGGCAAATGGAATTTTGGTATAAATGTAGGACCTGCTCTACAGGAATGCTCTGTTGACCATGGTAAATGACGAATTTTAGATAGCAAAGACTTAGCACCTCTCTCAGATGTGGCTGAATCTCTTCTTTCTGTGCATGAGGCTTTTATAAAGTGTTTGCTATTGCACACAGATAAAGTAGAATACCCTTGTAATTAGTTTTCTTTGCTAGACATCAAACAGTTAAAAAAATATATAACTGTTTATTGTTATGGGATTAAACCATGAGCCATGTTATTAGCTTGCTTGTAGAACTTAATGCAAGCTGTAAGGTGTTCACAAATCTTGCATAATGCTTTGACACATTATTATTCTAATCTTGTGTTGTATCTTTTTATAAAGTTTTACTGGGCTGTTGTTTAAATTGTATTGTTGTGGAGTCCTATCATTTTTAGAGTTCTTATATCATGAGTTTCAGGCATCTCACTTTTGGAGTTTCTTCAAAGCGAGCAGTGCAGGGATATGTAAGAACCTGCTTCATCATGGTAAGGTTGATGGAAATGTGTGCTGCTTTGTGTCTTAAAATGCCTGTGGCTTTTTTCATGCACTGTATTGGTTAACAAATGCAAAGCCAGAACTATATTATTGCTTTCAGGAAGAAAAACAAATGCTTGTAAGAGGAATCACTTTAAACTGATTTCTCATCTCTATTCATTCTAAATAATAATAATAATAAAATAAAAATTGGCTGAAGTATTTTAAAAAAAGGAAATATTTTTTCTTAATTAGGCAGTAGTCTCCTTTTCCAGTGGAATAGTGATAAAACCAGAGGATCTTTCTCATTCTTCTTGCAATTAGTTCTCACTAGCATACAAGTATTAAAAAATGGCCTGGTTAGAGAAAAAGGAAGCTTGTTATGATTTTTAGTTCCAGAGATAGGTACTTACATTCCAGGGTTCTTAGGTGTTGATTTAAATTATTATGACAGATACATGGTTACTTTTTACAAAGGAAGTCTTTGACTTTATTTGCTCCACGTGAAAAGGATAGTCTAATTCAGAGATGTTTTTCTCAATCAAAAAATGGAGAGGAACATGGATGATTTGTCCTTGGATAATACCAATAACAAAATACGAGATAAATTAGATGAATTCATTTTCTTCCCCAAAGAGGGATGAATATATTTAACTTTTTCTTCCTCACATTTTCTCTTAAGAAGGAAGAAGACTGAGTTTGGAACTGGTGCACAAGGCTGATGACAGTCTCTATCCACACCCTTTGCCATTTTCCTTTTAATGATTTTTCTCTTTGGATGATCATTAGCTGTAAAGGAAAAAATATTTCCATAAGCATACAAGACTTCCAGGCTCATATCCCTAATTACTATTCTTTGGAAAGATGACAGCACATTTCACTGTAATTATAGCTCAGCTGGATGTGTTCTTATGAAAAAAGGACTCATTTTGGATTATTGTAAAAGATGTTAGCATGGCGTTCTCTAACGCATGAAATGTGAAACCAGCAAAGAATAGACTTGATATTCTTACTGATTTCTAAGGAGAGCAAAATTATTTGTGATGGATCTCATGAATATTTATTTTCCTTTTACAGAAACTGAGAAACTTGATGTTTAAAAGAAAAAAAAACGTATATCGAAAGAGTAATATTAGACAAAGATATTACTGAAGACAGCTGGTTAGCTGAAAAGACAGCAAACCAAATCTATAGCTGCTGTAACTTTAACGAGTAGAGAATCCACACTTGTATGTAAAAAACTAGCCCAAAGCATTTTCGTGAGTCCTTAAAGTACAGTGCTATTTAGACCAGAAAAACTGGAAGGTGCTGCTTGAAATATGGGTGTGTAGATGTCTCCTTGCTTATTTTCATGATGCAATTAACTTGTCATTCCACTGTTGTTGGTTTTTTTTTTTTCTCTTACTGGGTTATTGAAGTATTTTTCTCTGTTCTGATAAAGTGCTTGCATGAAAGCTTTGAGCTGAGTTTATCTGTCTGTAACATCTGAAATTTGGGAGACTTGTGCACTTAGAAATTTATTAAAACAACTATAAAAATATAGGAAAGCAGACCATCTTCCTTACTTTCTGCTGAAAATAATTTCATAAATGAATAATTCAGTATTAAGATTTTTTTTACTCATGTGAAAAAGTTGGGTAAATGCAATGGGAAACTACTCAGACAGTCATATCCGAATCACTGGTATTTGTGGTTAAAAGGGATACAGTCCTATGCCAATTTTCAAGACGAATGAAAGCATGACTAGATTAAGCAGGCACCTTTAGACTAAAATTCCTTCTAGTGAACATAATGACATTATGTACTGCATCCTGCTAAATAAATACAAAACCCCAAAACAACTAGCAGCTTTTCAAATTTCTACGTTTTAATAGTATTAATTGATGCTGAACCAAGGGTAACTAAACAGTGCTTTGCCAATACAATTGCACTACATCTACTACGGCTTTCCTGTGTATATTGCTTCTGATTATAAGTTGAGCTAAGGTAATTCCATCTGTTATGATATCTTTTTATGAAATGCTGTGAAAACAGTAACACATATAACTTTTATAGAATATGTTGAAGATGATTTTGCTTGGTAAGTCTTTATAGGTATAAACTGAAATGTATATAAAAACCGATTGGGGAAAAGATAAAATACTATGGAACTGTCTTAAAAATCAGTGGTAGGTGCTCTGTATTAAGGTATTAAATGAAACATCAAGGGTCATCTTGCCAAAAGGTAGACATCTCAAACAAAATCAAGATTTTGTTTGTTTGTTTGTTTGTTTATTGAAGGAAAGAAAGCCTTTTGGCTCAGGAATCTCCGGTAAATGGAGATGGAAGCCTTCAAACAAAAGTATTGGCATTTATACTTGTGGTTATACAGATATGTTTGTAAAGAAGTTGGAATTATTTGCTGTATAATTCTCATATGAGGTATGTACAATGTGCTTTTTACAGGAGCTGGAAACATATAGTGCTTCATGTAGAAAGACAGCAATTGTCTGTATGCTGGCCTTGGCTTGTTTTTGACCGTCTTTCCAACACTGCCATTAGTGTTTGAGCAGAGTTCCTTATGACATGGTAATGAGCTAGTGGCAACAATACATAAAAAAAAAACAAAATTTGTGCTGCATGAGAAAGAAAAAGTGGAATGGAGCCTATTACATGTACAAAACCAATCCACAAAGACAGATCCAGCATCTGAGAGCAGCAGTTGTCTTCAGCTTACACCCTGCCTGCCTCCACCTCAACCACACCTTCCAGCTCCATGTCCTGCTTCAGTACCTTTCATTCTGTACCTTGCTCTGTACCTCTACTCCTGCAAAGGACGTTCCATAGTTCACTAAAACCTGTTCCTAATCCTCCACCATTGTGAAGGCTCTGAAAGCTCATGCAAATGTCATTAGAGCCACACCACTGCGTGATGGTCCAGCAAATTCATTAGTTTGTCCACCCGAGCATTCTGTCCATTAACTCCTGAATGAGTAGAGAAATCACTAGCTGCAAACAATCTAAAATATATTTGTGTCTTTACAGCACCCACCATCTCCCAGAAATATCTTTGTAGTATTGGAGCCTACAAGAAAACAGTAATATTTCTCTTTGAAGAAAGAGTGTGTCTGTATTTAAATGTACGTGTGTATATATATATATATATATATATATATACAAAATAAAATAATTTGGGTTTGCATCTCCTATCCATGGGGTCTTCCTTACCCTTTGTAAACCTTCTATATAACTTTGAATATCTTCTATATATACCATATTTTATAAATGTGGAAGATATACTGTATAGATATTTGAAACTGGACAAAGAATTTTAAGAATTTCTTCCTGTTAATTTTAACTCTAGGTTCTTTCACTCTCAGGTGCTTAAAATAAAATAGAAAGGAACTGCATTTTTTAAACCTCACAATGAATAATTCATGGGAAATCTTAGAAATCCTGAAAATACTATGTAAGACAGTTACTGAGCTCAGGTTGTTAGTGCCAGAATATCTTGTATCTCGTTTCTGTTTTTAAGATTGGACTGTCCCCAAGTGAAAACGAAAGATCGTTTTATTGTAAATATTTCCATCTTTTTCTCTCTTTTTCTTTTCTTTTCTTTTTTTTTTTTTTTCTTTCTCTGCTTTGGGATCCTGAGCTCTAGGTCTTGCATAAAGAAACTTTAAAGGAAAATCTAGGAAAAATCACTACTGGGCAAAATACATTTTTTATACAGCAAGCATTCATTAAAATTTGAAGACAAATTAAGAAGTAGAATGGGAGCCAACTTATGTTCCCTGGGATAACAGAAGACCTCCCATGATCCAATTCAGTGAATATCCCTCTCTGTTTCATTCTTTGCATTTGCACTGTTCAAACGGAATCTTTTTCCACTTAGTATAGCTTGTCCAGGTAAAAGATCCAGAACTTCATTGTTTAGCAACTAGACTTGTAGGTTATAATCACAAGCCCGTGATTTTTAGGTTTCTCTGTGCAGGAAAGTTACTGTGCAGTGAGCTGGGGTTGGAATTTACAGTACTACTCTCTTATTCCACTTTCGTTTTTAACGCAGTTGGGAAAAAACTCATTTGAAAGTGAGCTTACAGTGCTCAGTGTACTCAACCTGACAAATAACTGGATTATAAATTCCAGTTTTAACTTATGATTTTTTTTAATAGATGAACCAAATTTTTATTTCTGTTGAAACTTGTTTGTTTCAGTTTGTGCAATGTTCACAACTTTTTTCTATGAAGTTAACCCAGTCACCGTTGCTACTGTTATTAAAGTATGTGTTAAAAGAACCAATTAAAAAAAAAAAAAAAAGCAAACAAAAACAAACAAACAAAAAAAATACAGTGGAAGTAATACAGAGTGAAGGTTAAGCAGAGAAATCAGGTCTGTGGTATGACTCAGACTGGTATTTTAGCTTGGTTCTGTTTTAAATATGATGACATGATGTCTTAAACACAAATGATGTTGTTTCTTCCTCTTATTAAATGCACCTTCTAATTGCTTGACCTTTCTATGTTCTGCATGTACTCAATATTGTAGATACATGCGTTACACAACAACGTTGTGGATACTGGGCAAAAACATCCTATCAAATGAAGAAAAGGAACTGGCTGACAATCAACATAAGCCCAGGACAAGGCTAAGATGGAAGAGAACAAACATCTCCAACAAAATGCAAGGCAGGTCATGGTATCATACAGGCTGGAAAACACTGATGATCATCTAGTCTAGCTGTCCACCTATCACCAATATTGCCCATTAAATAATGTCACTTAGTGCCACATCTACACATTTCTTGAACATCTCCAGGAACAATGACTCCACCACTTCCCCAGGCAGCCTAATCCAGAGCCTCACCACTCTTTCTGAAATTTTCCCTAAACGCAGCCTGAACCTTCTCTATCACAAACTTGAGGCAATTCCCTCTCATTCTATCACCTTTACCTGGGGGAAGAGGCCAACACCCACCTCGCCACAACCTCCTTTCAGATTGTTGTAGAGGACAACAACATCTCCCATGTGCCTCCTCTTCTCTAGACTGATCAATTCCAGTTCCTCAGCCACTCCTCATAAGACTTGTTTCCCAAACCTTTCACAGCTTAAATTCCTTTGTTTGGACATGCTTCAGGGTCTCGATGTCTTTCTCGTCATGGGGATCTCCTGCAAACCAGCTCAGATGGGAGCTCAGGTGGGAGCTGCCTTGAAGTTCTTGATTTCTCCATATGAGGACTGGTGGTTTTATTTCAGAAACCACCTATAATTATTTAATGCTACTAATTTCCTCCAGCTTTTAGAAAGACAAAGGTGCTGCGTGCATCTTAAAACACATTGGATTCTTGTCTAGGGCTTCATTTGAAACATTTCTTACTCCGAACTCATCTATAAATAGAGTGTTGTAATACTTGTTCACGCTCAACAGAGTAGCAGCCAGTGCCTTTGGGTTCCTTAATGAAAGGGATCCCCATCGCAAAGTGACACATAACTTTTAAGAAACTTGTGGGTAAGTGCTGTTAAAGAGTTCATGTTCTTGAAAAATTACTGCCCTTGCAGTATGAAGCTTCTAAAGATCAGATGTACTGTACGTGGATTCCTAACAAATTTATGCTTATTTTAGGGTTACCTTATGGCATACAATTGTTTTTCTCCCTATTCCCTTTCTCAAATATTCCTGAAACCTTGGCAGAAAATACTCATACCAGCTAATTACTTCCTCAAATATTCCTACTTTGCAGGTAATATTGTCTTCTGTCACTTCTTTCTGAAAAAGTGTAAGCTCATTAAGATAAGTTTAAAATGAACTCCATTATTAATTAGGTGCACACCTTATAAATAAGGTAATCAAATCAATACAATTATAAGGCTAGTGCAGTAGAGGGAACTTTAGGGCCATGCACTGACATGTCCTCAGGCTGAGTAGCTAAAATATCTTGTAACCACTGTAGTTGTGTCAGTATCCCACTGGACAATACTCTCACCAAAACACTTTAATCACATTTCGCATGTATTCTTCCCTTTGTTCAGCTGTCATTTTGTATTCCTTTTTCTTGAAAGGATGTCTTAGATACTTGACTGCTGTGACTTCACTCTTGTGTTCAAATATATTAATAATACTGTGAGACTGCATCAGTGCTGTTCACAGGTGATCCTTTTGTGATTGCAATGTCCTCTTCGTCAATTCTTGCTCTTTCCTAGCGGCATAATTGGCAATTGAAAGCAATGAAGATTCCTGAGCCATAGCAGGCACACCACTTGACTTTTTCAATGCTCAGCATGTCATTCTACCCTAATGCATGTCATATATTTTTGAAACTATTACAAAAGACAAGTGCAGTCCATTCTATGGTAAGTAGCAATTACTCCATGTATTAAGAAATTCTCTCAAAACCATAAATTTATAGGTACTTGTACAGAGCCAAGATGTTTAGAGAAATTTAATAGCCACTTCCTGAAATTAAGCTATTTAGACTAAAACCTCATTAATGTTCTATTAATCTGTAGAATTTCCAGGCCTGCATTGAGCCTCCAGACTTCTTTGTGCATTTTGGGAGGCTGTTGGATGTATAATAAAAAACTGTGGTGATGGGGAGAGGACAGCTTGCATGAAGGGAAAGACATGGAAGCAAAGAAAACAAGCATGCTGTCCTGGGACTAATGGACTGTTGGCGTTAGCTTGGTGCTCTTTGCTGCTGGGCAGGGAGGGAAGCTGTTTCTGTTCAGAAGGAGACTAAGCTCCCTGAGAAGTCAGCAATTAGGGCACATCAGCTATTTAGAGAGGCCATAAGCTGGGTGGCAAAACCTTTCCGTAATGCATATCACTATTTCCTGTTAGTGTTCAGTCTCCCACAGCCCTTTCTTTAGGTCAGTGGCCCTGTTGCCTCAATGATCTCGCTCCAACTCATTTGATGCAAGGCTTGGAAAGCAAGAGGGATAAAAACAGACTGAGAGCGCCTAGATGGCTAGTATGCTATGATTTTTTACCTTGTTAAAGATTCTTACTCTAGGCACTTGGGACTCAGGCTTGAGTGAGAAGACCAACCAGTTTGATAGCTGTGAGCTGGCAGTAGAAATTGGATGCCTTTGCAACTGCAGGTAGGCAAGAGCCTGGGCATCTGGGAGACTGATATTGGGCTGGGTATCTGCACAGCGATTCTTCAGAGACAGATAGGCACCAAAGCAGTTTCAAGGATCCAAACAAGCATATTTACTACAGCTAGTGACTCATGTCCATACAGAAAGTTCAGCTTCTGATTCAGTGTTTTATTATTTTAAACTCTTAATTAAATCTCTTTGAACCTACAGGTGCAACAACTTAGTGAAGCTTATTTGTTTTCTTTTATTTGTCACAGGCTTTCATTTACCAAAAAAAAAAATAATATATAGACAAGTAATTGAACTACGAGAGGTATCTGAGGGGATTTTAATATATTTTTGGAAAGTGTAACCTGCTTTGGGCATTTTCTACTTATAGGCCTGGAACTATCATTTTGTCACCTGAAAAGATGCATCAAGATCAGTTTTCCTGGTAAATAGACCATAGTATAGTTATATATTTTAAAGTAGATGCTCATTGAAAGACTGGAAAACTTATATTCCTATTTTACTGGTTGATTTAAAATTGATTATGTGTTTACATCTATATCATGTTCTAATATAGCTAAATAATTTCTTATGGAATAGTGTTGTTTTTTTGTCAAATGACAAATACTAAGGAAAAGATATTTGGTATTGTTATAACAGTTTTGAGATATGTACTTTTTCATGATTAATGAAATATATATTAAGGATCCTCATATATTTTCATAGCTGCCAGTGAGATAGCCAAACATTTACACATTTCAAATATGAGGATGTTGATTGTATTGACTTGTATTGACTTACTAATGAATCCATCATAATAATTTCAACAACTCTTGTCCAGAATAACTGCTGGTACACAGATTCTTTGCTTTAGTTTCTATGAAATTATTTCACTAGACATGAGCTTAACTTATGCTTACTAATTGTTTCATGATAAGTTAGGCTGTTTCATTCTTAAGGAACTGACTAGAATCCAGCTAGAATCCAGGCAGTTATCCAAATCACCAAACTTCAGTCATTCTGTAATTTTCCTATCAATTAATTGTTCTTGTTCTTTATTTTTTTTTAATCCAAATTAGCATAACTTCATCTGGAGGGATTTTAGTAGTATTTCATGGATTTAATTTTCAGAGTGAAAGGCATAAGGAGGATAAGAAACAATTGTTAAAAATGCTTATTCTTGTTTTAGTAGAGGAAATTTAAATCCATCTCTCCTATTTGCAGCTGATGTCCTCATCATTGAGTAAGCAGAGAGAACAGTCTTGTTTTGTATTCTTGTATTAAATATGTCTGGGATGTAAATAAAACAATTTACTTTGTATCAAAATATGTAAATGTTTTCTGTTCACGGAAGCTCTTGGAAAACTTCAGATGCTTTTCAGAACTTTTGGGGAAGGAAAGAGTAAAGGAACAAGCTGAGAAACTGTCTGTGTGCTTTCAAGTAAATATGCACAAAGCATAAATAAATTCTGTAGCTTTTAGATTAAACTTTAATGTCCACTTCAAAAACGTTTAATGCAGCTCCTCTGTTTCTTTTACAGTTTGGTTGAAAAGTTTGCAACCGTTTTTTATACTGTGATCTCCACTTAGAGGTAGAGCAGAGTACTCAGACTTTCTGGAAGCTGGGATTTTTGTTTATATTATAATAAAAATGTCCACTAGAGTTTTAATAAAGAGAGTTTAAATTCAGCTTGAGTCCAGTGCTCTTCACTGTTTTCCTATGGGTGTCTGGCCATTGGGTGCTGAGACTTATGGGAATTGTGAATGGATAAAAATTACAGCTTGTGCTGAACTGTGTTCAGAATCACCCTGGTCTTGAAATATTTTTGAGAAACTCCGAGCTGTGACATGTTGAGAGTTCCATGCTACAGGTGAAGTACAAAATCTCTCCTTCCCTTCAGCCACAGGACTCTCCCTAATAATGCTGGAAGTGAAAATGAATCATTTATGAGCATCAGTAGACACATGGGTGGGGCCTCTTTGTAAACTGGTATTTTGTTGATGCAATAAGTGTGACAGCCTTTTAGTTGTGAATATAAATGTTACTGAGAGGAAATTAGGTTGGTTCGCAGAGGAGATCAGACAGACTTTTCGGTGCTTCTTGCTGAGGAGCAGGTACCTCTGTCACTGCTGCGCTTCAGATACCAGTACATGTAGAAGGAAAATGGAAGGTGAGTGCTTCAAAACTTTACTATCACTTGACTCAGGACTGAGAATGGAATTAGTCAGGTGTGGGTATATAGTAAAAAATTACCTACTACTGCTACGGAACCAAGCCAAGAAAATACTTCTATGGTTTAGACTTTTTAATATGAGAACTTAGAAAAAAAGCAACTGCTGGGAAAAGAAGAAAAAAAAAAAAAAAAAAAAAAGAAAGAAAAGATAAAAACACCCCTTTTTCCTAAAATAGAAAATCTATTAAAAAAAAAAAAAAATATGGAGAAAAACTAGTGAAACAGTCTTCTCTGAGAATGAAAAATAGTATATTTTACTTCCAGCATAAAACACAAAGTTCTACTTTCCACTACTCTAGTGCTAGGATCAATCTGAAGTACAGTTTCTGGAATTAATGCCAAATGTGAATTGATAGAGGGAACTGGGTGACTGGTATTAAGGGTTTCTATCACAGAACAAAAACCTAACTGAGATATGAAATTGATTAGCCTTTAGTATTTTCTCTGAGCTGACTTTGCTAAAGAAGGCTTCTTTGTGATCCATTTGTGATAATTAACTCTGATAAGTAACCTGTGGGCTGACTTTAGACAACATCTTTGGGAACATGTAATATCTCAGCTCCCTGATGTTCCAGTTTAGCTGGATTCATGAGTCAATGAAATGTAGTTGTCTTGTTCTATAAAACCCTCCAGAGGATAGGTGAGGATCTATTAGGTTCTTTCAGTCAGCATTCATGACCACAGGAATTTGTCATGTGTGCTGTAAGCACTTTTAATCTTTTCTGTTCAACCAGAACACTTTGCTAATGAGACAGCTCTCATTAAGATACAAGATTTTCAGTGATTCTGTTACTCTTTCTTGTTCAGCAGGTATGATGCACTCATGCACCACAGTGACGCAATGCATTTCCCTGTGTGTGTTTTTTTGTTGTTGTTTGGGGCTTTTTGGAGCGGGTGTTTTTTTTGTTGTTGTTTTTTCATATGGTTTGAATAGTGTGCATTCTTTCACTTTGGCAATGCCTATGTTGCTTTCTTTGTTATTTTTGCTGAAAAGCTAAGTGACCAATTCAGTATCAAAATCAATGGTGAATGAAATATCTAATGATTTTGTTTTAAGGAAAAAAATCAATTTTTTCTCCCCCAGACCTTCCTTCTCCAATTCATTTCAATTATGATTTACTTCAGGATGTGATGCTGATAAATCCCACTGGATTGTGTTAGAAGTACCCATGTTCCACAGACTTAGCTTTAAGTCTTCTTGTATGTGAATACACCCTTGATTCCATGTGGGAAAAATGAGTCTGTTCAACTTAGTGACAATTTACCTATAGAAGTTAGTTTGCTTGTTCTACAACTTCAGCAGACCAAACTTCACCTTTCAGAATTAAAATAGCATCCAAGTCTTTGTAGTTCATTGAGCTCAATTTTTGAAACTGCTGAGAATTTTTGGCTCCCCTTGTCTCCAATTAGCCTGAAACATTTTTGAAAATCACATGTTCTATGTAAATAAGTAAAAAAGAATGTTGCTACCCATCCTTCTGGCACCAGATCATAATTACCCCTAGGAAATGACTGATATCTAGACAGGATGCCTGAGATGGGTGATACAAGATTTTTGTCAAGACAATCTTAGCATTTGAAATAGGCTGTCAGTAATTTTTAAAAACCGTAATTTGTGAATATCTCCTTCTCCATTCATTTCCTCAAAGATGTCTTGATTTGGGTAATAAAATGAATGTATCCAAACTTTTTACGATTCAGAGAAATATAGATAGAAGCATGTACATATGCATGCCCATTCAATATTATTTGAAACTTGGAGGTGATATTTATTCGTATTTTTTCATAATTGATTTGGAGTACCATTTAATCTTTCAAACACATGTATTTCTGATTTTCATTTATTCCGTTTATTATTTTATTATTTGTATAAATGCCAACTCTCAATTGATGGCATGTAAAAAAAGTTTGCTGTTTAGCTGTGGTTGAAATATAATATAAATTCTATTTTAGAAGGTGGGATATTGTCAGTTAGTGAGACTATTACAATACAAAACCAATCTTTTGAGTAGAGATAAAAAAAACAACCTTTAACATTAGTTATTTATAAAGCGCAGAGGTGCTATAGAAAAGAAGTGAAACTTGTAGCACAGCTTTATAAATCAAAGCATTATACAAGTTTCTACCTGCAAGCAGAGGAAGCAGTGAACTTCTAAGGACACTTTTATGAATGTGTATCTCATTATATAGTTTTGCAGCATTGCTGAGATTTGAACAAACTCTTTACTGTTTTTTTTTTTTTGTTTGTTTGTTTTTATCAAAGCTATTATCTCTTTCATCTTTATCTCTTTATCTCCTGTTTCACACAATCTTGACCTCATCCTGTGATGAGGTCATCATCAGATCACCTCACTTGTCATTTTTTTCCTTTATGTTTCTTCCTCCATCTTGCAGTCATTGAACTTGGAGATGTCGACCTGAACTGTCCTTCCAACTGCCAAATTCATAACACCCATTTCTTCGGAACTGACAGACAGATAATAAGGAGAGGGCAAGCCTTCAACTTCTATGCAAGTTTCCATAATCGGGAATGGGATGATTCCGTGGATCAGGCTACTTTCACCGTGGAGACAGGTAGTCACTTCCAAAATCTCTATAGGTTTTCTCAGTCATTTTCTGCTATATTATATTTACCATATTCTTCAGTGATAAATACTATCTGCTCATTCACCTTCTATGTGAACAGCAGACAGTCCTCTAGCTTCGGCGGTGCTTCTACTGTGTAAAGTTCTCTCACTCTGTAAGAAAGTGACAAGTGAAAAAGAAATCCATGTTTGGGAGTTTTGCATTGCAAATGATTGCTAAACAAATTACTTGTCTTTTGCATGTGCTTTGTTTACCCTGATTGAAGATGTTTTTATTTTCCTGAACAGGCCTCAGGCCTTGCGAGTCAAATGAGACGAAATGCACCTTCCCAATGGGTAGATGTTTAGATCAAACCTGCTGGAGTGCTTCCTACAAAACTCATCAGCCAAAATGCATCAACATCAGTGTGTTTCCTCCCTCCAATGCCTGCCTTGGCCGTTACATTCTCAACATGCAGATCACTTCTTGTGGTCATACATACCAGCGTTGTCTTGGAGATTTTTATGTCCTTTTTAACCCATGGTGTGCAGGTGAGAAATCCTGTGATATTGAGGTAGTTTTAAGAGAAATGCTAGTGCTGAGTAAAACTGCTGAAAATATGAATTACTTAAGTGGTGAATAAAGGATAGAATCACAGAAAGCATATGAAACAGAGAGCAATTTACTTTTGTGTGTTTGGTTTTTTTTCCTCCTGAATGTTCAAAGTTGTCTTAAGCCAGTGTTTTGATTTGGCTACAGCAGAGATGTAGTATAATTTTTTTTTCTCCACTTTTGCAGTAGCTTGGCAGGAAAAGAGGCAATGTGTACAAACTGAAACAAAACAAATTCCACCAGGAAACACCTTTTACTGTGCAGGCGACTGAAGTAGGTTGCCCAGAGAGGTTGTAAAGTCTCCCTCCGTGGAGACAGAGATATTTAAAAGCCATCTGGACATAGTTTTAGGTAACCAGCTCTACCTGTCCCTTGTTAAGCAGAGAGTTGGTCAGATAATTTCCAGAGATCCCTTGCAATCTCAGCTACTCCATGATTCTCTGAAATCTGAGATATCACCACACAATAATACAATACAGATATGAATGAAATTCTGTAAGTCCAGTCTGAGCGGCAACAAACTGTGGAATTTGTAGAACCTTGCCAAAATAATTACATGGCAAATATTTATATTGTCCATTGATTTGATCAGAATTACACACCCAACTCTAACTGCACAATGCTTTACTCCTAGAACTGCTTAGTATGAAGAAAATTTACAAGTCTGTGATTTGCGTGTATCACAGAAAATGAGACCTAATAAAGGGAAAATGAAGTAGTAAATAAAAATGGATTTAACAGGATTAAAAGTATAGCTTTAAAACAAATAGGAAAAGAAAGAACTTCCAGTGAAATAGATATAAAAGAGTTAAAAAAGAACCTATAATCTGATAGATCTTGCATTTTTTCCAGATGACCCTGTATACCTGGACAATCAGGCCCAAAGAGAAGAATATATTCTCAACGAACATGGCATACTGTATGAAGGAGTTCATAAACATATTACCTCTAGACCATGGCACTTTGGACAGGTACATTTTTAAGATTTGTTCAGAAGCAGCCATCCACATACGTACAAATGAAATGTTATCTATATTTTTTCAGATATATATGCTGATTGTGTGCAAATTTTTGCTGTAAGCAAAACAACTGCAAGGATGCCTTGAAAAAAGAGAAGCAGAAAATTGTGCATGTGAATAAAAAATGATTCCATTAATTAAAAATAAGCAAACCCTAATATGATTTTAGAAGAGATCATATTTGAAATTCCTTCAAAGATTTGATTTTAGAAGGTGATACTGGAGAGAAGACAAAAACTGCAGTACTGACCAGAAAAATACCTTTTCAATGTTAGAGTATCATGTCTGTCTTAACTTCTCTTTTGGCAGTTTGAAGATGGGATTCTGGACATCTGCTTAAAGATTTTAGACATGGGTGCAAGTTATCATCATGGTTCTGATCGAGACCATTGCTGGCGCAATGACCCTGTGCACGTCAGCATGGTGGTAAACCACATGGTAAGATCTAGTGGTGCAAGACCTCTTAATAGATGTGATCACACTGCATTTTTTTAATAGAAAGATAAATTGCACTATAATTTAGCGCAGCAAAGAAAATCCTGTTTTTGTGCTTAGATGCACAGGAAAAATTAACTTGTAACATTGATCTTCAATATTTCTGTGAGATGCTTAGAGAGCGAAGAGATGGCCCAGTACTTGAAAAGACTGCCTTTCTTTTTCTCTTTTTAGATAAGCAGCCATACCACTAACAGTATCATGAAGATTCCAGAAAACAATGATTACCTGAAGGGAACAAAACCATTTTCCTGGAATGGAAGCGTCCCTATTCTTCAGCAGTGGTACAACGGTAGATGCAGACCTGTCAGATACGGGTACTGTGGGTCTCTTGCTTCAGTAATGTGCACAGGTATATTTCAGCCTGCTTTTACCTATCTATCCAAAATGAGAGAAAGAAAACTGGATCAGAAAACTCTGATCCCAAAACTACTGCAAGCATATTACTCATAAATGTTTTACTAGAAATGAAATTGAGTATTTTATCTTCTTTTGATATGGAATGTCTGCCTTCATAGTGTTTATTATAAACCTGCTGCTTTCTTATAAGCTGTGAAGATTTAAAGAAATGATAGTGTCTTTTCTTGGATCCTTATGGAAAGTAACTCTCTCTACTGCATCTTTTATTAAAACGCGGAGCAAATGCAGCTTCATGGAAGCAAAAATTTATCCTTAGAAGAGGCTTGAGGGATGACTAAAAACACAGATCATGAACAAGATCTCTAGCACTGTCTCCTACAAAACATAAAAGCAGTAATCTACAGTCTTTTTACGCTACAAGTAAGGAGGCAACAGTAAGCTATATGATAAAGATGGGAAAAAAAATTAAAACATTACAGTATTTGCTTATTGAACATGTTTCTGCAATGAAGAAAATTAGGTTGATGCTCTACAAGCAAATCTATAAACACTACACTCTGTTTGTCATAGGCATGGACATTTTTACTGGTGTTTTATTAATGCAGGATCTCAAAATATTTCTGAATTTACAGCAGCTGTTGTTTGTTTGTTTGTTTGTTTGTTTTTTAAATCTGGAAGAGTGATAAGCCATTCCTTCCTGGTAGGGTCTTTAAAATTACTTTTCAGACACTGACAAGAAGTTTTGAAAACAGAATCACTACATCAAATATTACCTCATATACACTGTGTACAAATACATTGCAACATATGATGGCAAAGTAGAATATGGGAGAGTCATTTATAAAATAAGTAAAGGACATTACTATTTATGATGACTTATGAAGACTTTTTTCCTTATAGTGATGAGGTGTTTGGGAATTCCAAGCCGTGTTGTCACGAACTTCTGTTTTCCATGCTCTAATGAGAATCCTCTTGGTATCAATGAGATTTTTGACTGTACAGGAAAAAACCTCTGTGGCAAGGACAAGCTATGGTAAATAAGAAATAAATAATAAGCTCCTTTGGTTTTGTCAAAAACTAAGTGATAGAAAGACTTGAGTAAATCTAGCAGTTTGGAGTATCTATTTCTTTGATGTAGCATAGCTGATCATTTCCTATCAATGCATTTCAGAAGCATACAATTACTGAAGAGGCACACTTTTGAGAATTGATGCTACCTGCTTATACTTTCAGTTGAAAGAAGAAGCCATCTCTCTTATCTGTAAAAATACAAAGTAGATCATGAAATGGAAATCGTTATCATTAGTAACAATCACTTAGTTGAGATTTAAGTTGTCTTTCTGAGGTTTCTTAGTGTGGATTGCTTCATTCTTGTTAATGTTTTGATTCATGTTCATGTAACTACGACATTACAATTCGGCTCAACGATATTCTTTTCACCCTTGGCCTGCAAGTTCATAGTTTTAACTGTACTTGAATTTTGCTTGTATCTAAGTTTCACCCATAAGAACTTTCAATGTGTTTTTTCTTTTTTTGACCTTTCCCATGTGAAAAAGATAAGATCAAACCAAAATGCCAAAGCAGTGAGATCCTATTGTAGCAGTTAAATCTTAAGGATTTGTTCTTTGTTAATCTATTAAAAAGCCTAGGACAGTGTGTGCCTTTTCTCTAAAGAATCAGGTAGAAAACAATAGGAAAATAGACTATTTAAACAAAAGAACTGTGCTGATACATTCTAAAAAGAAAAAAGAAAAAAAAAAGGGCTATAAAAAGCTTTTTTTTCAAGCAGATCTGCAGGTTCTTGGTACAAATTTTCATTCTTAAGTATATAAAGAAAAGCAAATAACTCCTGTCCCCTGATGTCAATAACAGTGCTAAGGCAGAGCTATTAATTTGCTTAGAAAATTCTCTCTACTATGGTCTTCCTCCATAGCAAAGCACGGAAAATAACGATGAGTTTATTTTAATCCTATATTCCTACATTCTACAGGCGGTACCACTGCTGGAATGAATCTTGGATGGCTCGTAGAGATCTAAATCAATGCTGTGGTGATTGGCAGTGTCTGGATCCAACACCTCTGGAAACAGGCAGAGGTAACTGAAAGTTTGCTATAATTGTCAGCTTTTCATCAGCTTATGTTTCTGAGTTTCTGTACAACTCAAGTTACATCCTGCTATAATATTATTATTTGCTGGCTTAGGCTCAGCTTGCAGTGGTCCTACTTGGGTTCGAAGCATCAGAGAAGGAGACCTGGACTTGGACTACGATGGTCATTACATGTTTTCTCGGCTGAACTCAAACTATGCTGGATGGCTTTCTCAAAACAATGCCAAAAAAACAAAAGTTTTCTGTGACACTTGGCCATGTGGACAACAACTAATTACCAAGAGTGTTGGCAGTGAGCAATTTGAAGACATCACTGGGAATTACAAGTATGAACTAGGTATGAATTGTCTTTGATGGGATTAGAGGATATTTATAATGCTAATCAAAACTATCAATATAATTTGTAGTTACTAGAACTATCTAAAAAAATTATTTATTTACTAACATATTGAGAAAGTGGAAGATGTCTTTCTCTTCATACAATATCTAAGCATATTTAGATGAATAAAACCAAACAAATAGCAGTTATTTCCATTTAATCCCATTGCTCTTGTGCACATGCTTTGGTCTCACCTGTATTCTAGTTTTGAATATTAGCGGATTTTAGACAATCTAAAAGACTTAGATTCTTTTAAAATCAAGATTAACTTGCTTTGCTTCATACGCACTTCCATGTCAGAAGCCATTCTGTTGGATTGCCCTTCAGCTGCCATTTGTCCCATGGCAACAAAATAGAACAGGATATTGATGGTAAGGTTCAACCTCTACTGCCATACCACATCTGCCTCTGACACTGTGGGCTAACATCATGAAACAGGAGGCATTACTTTTAGAGGCCTTCAATTCTTCTGTGAACTCAGACTACTGTAGTTTGTGGTTTCATTTTCCGTTGCATTTTTTTCTGTGCCAGACTACTACATTATGTTTCAGGAAAGAAGAGGAATAAATTTGATTATATTTATTATTTAGGCAGATATGACTTCCAGTGGACTCATTATCATATATCTCCTTCAACAGGTTCTGTGAAAAGCAAAGAAGCCTATTATCGAGCTTACAGAAGAATTCACCCAGGGTACTGCAATGCTTCCAACTGTCATATAGACAGAGAGTTATCATCTCTGAAAAACCCATTTTTGAGTGATAGTGGTATTAACACAAGGCTAAAGATGGCTAACTGCCCAATGTATGGTGAAGATGTCCAACTACTCTGGTTGCTTGAAAATTTGCGTAGTGAACCCAAAAACCTGAAGTTTAATTTGTGTGCACAGATAATAACATACAATGGTTGCCCAATGGATCAATTTTGGAAAGATAGTGTGACCGTTGCATTAGGTCCAAGGGAAGGTAAGAAGGTGGATTTGTCTACTGTTCTTCTGTCCTCTCTTCTTTTCTGGAGACAGATAGCTTCTTTTGAGGGTTAGTGGAGACTTCTAAGTGCTGGTAAGAAATGAAATTAATATGCTATTAAATACTGACAGGCAAATTGTCTTAGAACAATCAATTATGAATCACTGCTATGCTACATACAGAGTAACAGGCTAATTGTAGTCCTTACCTAATTTCTCTAGGTTTAAAGATACTGATGATCATTTTAAGTTCAAATCTATATGATATATTCAACACACAAATGAATTGGTTGTGTTTATAATAGGTTTATCATAAACAGGGACTTGGATCTTGACAATATTTGAGGTCCATTCTAACCTAAGGCATTCTATGGTTTATAGATTTCCTTTGGCCAGAATATATTAGCCAGAGTAAAACATGTAATTGAGCACTGAATTGATTATTTCCAGACACATTGGATGCTGGGGAGTGCAAAGTCATGTTACAGCATAAGCAGTTGTTTCAACAGTTATCTCTCGTGTTTCATAGCGAAGAAAGACCCCTTTACTTAAGTCACTTATCACTTATCACTATAAGTTTTTGTTTCTGATATTTATATTCTCCTTTATCAACCTCTAATTCGCCTATATTGCAATTACTGCTTTAAGAATTACACAGGAATTAAAGTTCCAAAATTTAAATAAATAAACATTTCTTTGTAACTGCATTAGTATAGTTATAATAATTAAAAAGAGTGCAGCTATATGATGAAAGCAGCAAAAAAGATTTCCCAAGCCAGGAAAATTTATGTCTTATTTCAAAAATGCTGCAACAACTCAGTTTTTAATTAAACTATTGTCATTGCTACTTAAACTTCATGAGTAAGGAAAGTACAAATATTAGACAAATTAATAATAATAATGATTATCTTTTTCTGTAGTGAAAAAAATTCCACTGTGTGTATCATATAGTCAATATGGACCTTATCTCAGTGATCACAACATTATAAAAGTGGTTGCTGTCTCAGATCCAGAGTGTGGAGAAGTTCTGATGGTGAGCAGAGATATCGTGATCAACAGGCCACCTGTTATTGTTAAGGTAAAGAGCTTTAATTGTGAGCTTTATGACCTAAGGAACATTTAGGGATTTTTACTGTCTGCTTCCTAGGTATAATGCAGAGAAATTTCTTGGTTCTTTTGTTTTTTTTAGCAGGATCGTTGTGATTTTATATTTACTTAGAGTGAAGCCTAGAGAAAGAAGGGGGAATAATCTCTGCTTTTGATCTCATTAATTTAACTTCATGCTAATTTTTTTAGGATGTATATGCCTATATATATATATTTATATATATTTTTTCTTTTAACTAGCTATTGAGTCAGCCTAGGCTGAAAGTACCGTGTACAGCAGAGATCTCCTTCTGCAATCCTCTCCAGGAAGATATGAAGAACTGCATAATGACTTTAGAAGGCTGTGGTTTATTCAAAGAGCCAATGACCATTGAGTAAGATCATAAATTATTTAAATGGGGTAATATTAAGAGTTGACTGAGGTCTGTTAGGTCAGCATATTTTTGAGGAAGATGATAATTCTTACATTTTTTGTGTGTAGGACCTGAACAGGACTATATGTTCCTTACTACCTTGAGATTCCATTAGAAAACTCACTCCTCCTGAAATGATTGGAGTATTTAGAATTAGTAATATATAATGCTGCTTCATTTTCACTACAATTTAATCTGTGCAAGTTAAAAATTTCTATCTGAAGGGGAATGCACTGTTTTCTTCATAAGCGATTTTAGCTATGTACCCCAGCCCTTATAATAGCACTGAGTTTACAAAGAAGTCCTCTAAATATTCATGAACTCGTATCATATGCGTAAACAATTAGAAAAAGACGGTGAAAAACAGCAGTGTGCATTCTAAGCTCACAACATGTTAATCACAGGAAACTGCAAATTTCCAGTATGCTCTAACGTCCTAGGAAGAGGAGCTGTTCATTAATATGCATTGCTCTTCGTCATGACAAGGACAACTGACAGAAGTATGACTAGTTTCAAGGGGAAGCAATTAGAAATTCTTCTCACTGAATGATAATGAACTCAATGCCACAGAGCTCCCTGATCCAACTTCAATGACTGGAAAAGGGAAGAAGCAAATACATCTTTGAGGTAGAAGGATACTGTGTTTTTGAAGAATTAAAGAATCTTACATATTCACAGAGAGTATCATGAATGGGTTTACAGTTCCAGAACTGACTATGGGAGTTTTCCATGGGGTAGAAGTAACCAATCCCTTTTCGAGACAGAAGGAAATGGTTACTGCTCTACTCAGAAAGATTTTTGGGGAGTAAGGCAAGAAGAGCAAACTGGTCATAGCAAATCAGAGCTAATAATGTGAGGTTATCTTCAAGTGCTTCAGGTCTCTGAGCTTTCTGGGATCCTAATTCTTTCCCTTCTGTTGGTGCAGTTTGGGAACGCTGGCTTCCAATCAGCAGGCACGGACCATCGTGGAGTTCACACCATACAGGTTGGGCAGCCACCGGCTCCTAGCCAACCTTGGATGCCACAAGTTTGCCTACTGCAAAGGATGTGCCAAGGCTGAAGTGTGTAACCACGTGGGGCAGAACAGCTCCCTGCCTGTGAACCAGAATGGGTCACTGTCGGTCTGTGAGAACGGGTCCCTGCCTGTTAATAGCTCTGGGGTGGCCCCTGCAGGGGAGCCTGGGCTCAACTCCACATGTGAATACATATGTATCCCTGTGTGCAACCCAAACTGCAATCCTGGGGGACCACCTGTGTTCGACTTCGTGTACCTTCCTGCAGGCCATCCCTTATGCAACTCCATCGGCAATCCAGGCTTCAACCCAAACTTCAATGCTATGTTTGACCCTGGGTGTGATCCTGGCTTCCGTGTTATATGTGAGACCGTGCCTCCTGCTACATGTACCCAGATGCCTCCAACAGTATACAGCTCCATGCCTGTCACAACATCCAACCCTGCAGGCCCCCCTATGCCTCATGTGGTGTTTGAGACGGGGTCTGCTCCTACACAGCAACCTGGAGGCGGAGGGGGGCCCATGCCTTATTCTGTCTCTGTCCCAGCAAACAATGCGGTGAGTGCCCTGTTGACCCACTTCATGGCCGGCTCCAGTCCTACCACAGCAACCCAGGGAATTCCCACCCATCTGCCATCACACCCTGTGTGCTCTCCAGTCGCCCATGCTGTCAGCAGTTCCATGCCACCGCCAGCAGCCATTACAGTGCCTGCGGCCTCCCTCTCTCATGTTGTTTGTGGCTCTGCACCCTCTCCCATTGCCCAGCCTCTCTGTGGCTCTATAGCCACTCTACCACCCCAGCCCCTGAGCACCCCAGTAGCCCATGCTGTGTGCTCCCCAGCCCCTTGCCCTGCGGCTTCTCCACTACCCCGTGCTGCACGTAGCTCTACTCCTGTGGGGCTGCACGTGGCAGGCTCCCCAGCCCCCCGTCCTGTGGGACCCCCAGCAGCCCACTCACTGTGCTCCCCAGCCTCCCGTCCTGTGGGACCCCCGGCAGCCCACTCACTGTGCTCCCCTGCCTCCATCTCAGTAGGAGCTACAGGAGTCCGCTCTGCGAGCTCACCAACCCCTTGCCCCGAAGACTCATCGGCCACTTGCTACACATCCCCCCCAACTCCTCAGCCTCTGGCAGCTGCCACTGCCCGCTCCCTCTGCAACCCTGCCTCTCATTCCATCTCCCGGGTCGTTTGCACTCCGGGGTCTCGCTCTGTCTGTGGCCCTCAGTGGGGACCTTCCAGTAACACCACCACTACCACCACCACCCGCTCAGGCTCCCTGTCCATGTGGCCTCCAACTTCCCGCTCGACATGGAACCTCACAGGGTGCTCAAGCTACATCCCCTTCTCCCGCGGCTCCTACAACACGCTCTCAGGCCCTCCCTATAGCTCCTTGTCTCGATCCTTCAACACTTTGTCCCGCTCAGCCTACAATACCCTGCCCCGCTCTACCTCTCCCTCTGCCTATGCCACCCTGCCGCGCTCCACCTTGCGCCCAACTGGCAGTGCTCTGACCCGCTCTGGGGCCCATACCCCTTGGAGCTCCAATAACAGGAGCACTCTCTCTTACTTCAAACGCAAATATCTGTAATTGAGAGCAATATGCTGGGGAAGAACCAAAGCGAGTTAACTACAGCCTGCACACAGGTGCTTTGACAAAAGGTTAGAAAAGGATGATGGAGAGCTGCCTGCATAGTCCTGAATATTTATCCATGCAGTTGAGATGTGTTGGAAAGCAGGCTGCTAGCCAACAGCCAAGAGGTGCATTTGATACAATGTCCATTTTCCTTGAGATATGGTCCGGTGGAACTGACAAATGAACGTGCTCTCCCCTGGAACCTTAGCGACAACAGTAGTACACTGCAGGTAATCGGACTAGATTGCTCAGTCAGGCTCTTTTATAAATGATCTGCTTTCACTCTCTCTCTTCTTGATTTCCTGCACTGTGTATTTCTCAAATCTCCTTGGCTACAGCCCTCTTAGCAAATCTGTCTCCCTGCATAAGATGCACTTTCCTTAGTTCTGCTATCACAGCAATGATTGCAGAGCCACCTGCCCAACACCCCTTGGCCCTCCAGTCCTGATATTGTCTTGACTGAGATCAGTTCTGCATGCAGTCAAATTTCCTCAGTTTTGAGGCAATGAGAACTGTGGAAGTAATGAAACAACTAAATTGGAGCAAATCAACCTGAGTGCTCAAGAAAACAAAACAAAACAAATCAATTATAATAGATCTGGTATTACTATTCTATATATATTACTGGTTCAGTATCAGGACAAAAGGCCAGAGTAGAAAAGCTCAATGAATGTCTAATGCCAATTTATTGGCTTTCACAGCTGTTTTTTGTACAGCATATCTCAAATTTTTCTTTTATATATTGCAGCATTTAACCCCATGGGAAATTCTCTAATTTCAAGCCTGTGCTTTCGTTATTCAATACAGCTTTTGTTTTTGAGAACTTTTGTTGACAGACTGAAATTAGAGAAGGAGGCATCCTTTCTTTTCAACACTCAGCCCTCCCAAATGAACAATTAAATGAAAGAAAATGTATTAAAACTTATTTGGTTAATTGGTATGATTTCAGTACTAACCTTCTCCCACTTTTTCTAGAATCAAAATAACATATTCTCATAAAAGAACTGTCCTAAATTTTGCCTTTCCTTTGTCTGTTCTTCACAAGAGCTTTGGGTTTGCTGACACATCTCCCATCCCTCCATTGTTTTCCTCTATTGCTCCATTATTTTTAGTAGGAAGCATTAGTGGGGTCTTCTGGTAAAATAATTTTGCTGGTACTGTAGAATTTTCAGTAATGTAGCAGTAGTATCTCAGTAGTTCACACACCTATGCTTTGTGATGAGATTGAGCTATGGGAAATTTGAAAAGATGTGGTGTCAAATGCTAGCTATGAATGTATCAGCTGTGTCAATTACTTAACAATTCTGAGTATGGTAGAAATCTTTACCTGGAAACTGTAGTGCAGTGGTCACAGTCCTGTGACTTGTTTTTTATACAATTTCATTTGCTGACAATACATTTGCCTGACAATAAAAATAGAAATTTAGAAGGAAAAACATAATAATGTAATTGTCTTGGTATTTGGTTACTTTTTGGTTTGTTGTTGTTGTTTTCTTGTAATAACTTTTCAGACTTGGGGGAAAATTTCTCCAGATGCACTTCAGTGTGCAATCTTCTTTCCACTCTGTGTCCTTTTTCTTCATGTCAAGTCCAAAAGCAAGGCTGCAAAATAGGTTCTGAAGTGAAAAGAAATTCTTATTTTACCTTAAATACTCATTCTGACATTTAGAGAAACAAAACAAAACAAAACAAAAAAACAAAACAAAAAAGAAAAAAACAACCAAACCAAACAAAAACAAACAAAAAAGCCATCCTTATTCAGTAAAGCTTTCAGCTTTTAGATTTTCCCTTTGCTTTCATGATTTGCAAAACTTGTCATCCACAGTGGGGCCAAACTGAACAAAACAAGGTGTAAGAATTTGTTTCTTCATGCTGATAGTAATTTGCAATGACATCATTATGGAATACCACTTCACATCTGTTTTCCTAGTCATGTTTCAATGATCTTTAAGGTCTTTTAGAACCTAAGCATCTCTATGATTCTACGATTCTTATTTTTCTCTTTTATAAGAAGGAGCATGAATCCATGTGCCAGGAATTCCAAAGATTTGTTCCCAACCTTTCAATGTCACTAGACTCTTCAATGTTTGCAAACTTTACTCCCCAACCCTTTTTATACATGCCAAACCGTATTTTTTTTGAAAATATATCGAGTTCATTATAACTAGAGCCACAGAAGATAAAAGAAATCTTTCAAAGTTCAAAATGATTCTAATACTTACAAAATTATCTACAGTGTGTTAGTAACAGGCTTCAGTCTCCTAGGAAGGTCAATTTCACTGCTACATTCGATTCAGGGAAAGAAAAAAACAAACAAAATATACCAAAAAGTGTATACCAATAACTTCTGCAATGCAATCTGATAGTGACTTCCTCCAGTGAAGAGGAAGCATGACAGCTACCATCCTCAGATATTGAATACAGAAAGAATAGTTTTCAAATATTCAGGAGAATATTTCCAATTTCAAACTCAATTCAGGCGTTTTACTTAAATGCTTGAGCAAAATTTATTCACTTGTTTTTAGGTCAGTGTAGATGAAAAAAATGCTATTTTCTATACATCATTGTAGTTGCCCCATCTATGTTTTAGGAGTACTGGAATTTATTTTTGTGCAAAATTAAAGTAGGCTTGTACATCTACAGTTTGATATTTTCAGTTTTCAATCCTAACAGTTCATCAGACTTTTACAAATGTTTTTCTTTCTTTTTTAAGATGAAAAGTTATGAAGCTGTAAGTTAACTGTTTCAAACTTTAAATGCTTAACATTTATGCCTATTTTGACATTTGCTGGTGACAAACCATAAAATGCCTGAGTGAAATGTGATTTATTTTTATATATCCCATCACTTGCAAGAAAAATATTGAAATTTATAACTCAATGAACCAATTTCCTACTGAGCATTAGTTTTAGACATAAATCAAACTTGACATATTGTATCAGACAAGAAGATTAAATTAGGGAAACACTATATTCATTTTGCTTAGTGCTAAAAGCAAACAAAATCTTTTAGAATATATATGCCATGAAGTGTATAAAAATATACAAATGAAAGATGTTGATGATGAAAAGATGTGAGAATATTCAAAATGCAAAAGAAAGTAACTTTTTTTAATTTTCTTTTTGTTCAGCAGTAATTTCATGTCATCTGCAGTACATTTCCATTATATTTGAATTTCCAAAGCTCTATATTTTTATATTGCATATGGAGAAATGTTTTCATAAGGGAAAGTCTATGAATCTTTAAAGATCTTCCCTTATAATAGAAGGGAATCCTACTCAAACACTTCACAGGCATCCAAATTCTTTGCTTCTTTTGATGTCTCAAATGGGAGGAACTACTTCCACATCTTTGCATATTCTTCCTTGTTAAAGCTTTTGAATTCTTTGGTTTTAAATGGCAAGTTATGTTATAAACGCACTTTTATGCTCTTTTGTATTGGATAATTATCTGGTTCTGTGACTAACATGGGAATAAGTTGTGCAAAGGAGACTATGCAGAACCAAAAACTATTCCAAACCCAAGCATCAAATCCTGTGCACATATATAGCTGAAGCCTTCATTGCAATTCTGTTTCTCTTTTATAGTAATATAGTTTGCAATCACATTCATTTGGAGTTTTTATCTACTTCTTTGAGTTATGCTAACTGGCCACACCTAAAAAACTTTTCATCTAATCTTTTTTTTTTTTTTTTTTCCTGTTCTCTTTCCTTGAGAAAAGTTGAATTTGATGGCTCTTAGTAGATTGCATTGGCTCTTTGAGCAATCTGTACTTTTGCATATATTCACTTCCAACCTTCACATATCTAAACTACCCATGTTCCTAAGACACATATCTGGTACAAATGTTCTATCAAGGCTAGTTGGTTTGAATAAAGAACATTCACTTGTAAGTATGAATCAGTTACAAAAATTAATAAGACGAAATTGTATCTAGAAAGCTTGGAGTTATCTGCAAAGAAAGGAAGACCTTTACTCTGTAAAGAAATGTTACCACCATGCACCATTTCCTTTCAGAAAATCTCTTTTGTGATTCTGGTGTTCTCTGATTACTTGTTCTGAATATTAAATCCTAAAATTTTATTCAAGCAATGACAGTATTTCATGTTAACTTTAGACTAATTAGAAATATATAAATGTTGATGTTTGAGATAAATATTACCATGAATCCTTGCTTCTTCGATATATTAAAATACGCCAGTAAACCCAATCCATCATCCACAGCAGTCTCTGAGTCTATGGCTCAGACAGAGGATATTAACCCTGACCTATAAATACTCTATAATTCTGGCTCAGCTAAATGTAGCCTCTTCATCTTCTAATTTTTGCTTATCTTCTAATTTCATTTTGACCTTTTTTGGCCTTATTCCTTTTCCATGGAGGTGGAAAAATTATAATAGGTAGAAGCTGCTCAGATGCAAACATCATCAAAATCACTGCAGCAGCTTTCAGCAGACATTTCAATCTCTAATAGGGAATTCTGCCTTCAGAGCACACACATTATAACAGACAGAATGCTGAGGTTTTTGTAATGATCTTGTTTCTTTCCTTTAGGTGATCTCAGTTGATTATAAAATAGCATGAGTCATTAGGGGTCCCAACTGAACATTAGCAGAATACTAACACACACATTTCTGCATCGCTAATGGAGGCCATTTGCCAAGGACAGTCCCGGTACAGAAGGAATGATAAACAGGCTTCACTGTTTTACAGAGAAACTTCATAAAACTATGTACAGTTGATTCAAATATTACAGATCAAGTATGAATGAGATGTAGAAGTATCCAGTACACAGTGCAAAAGCTGGGCATTAAATGACCAAAATAACAATTCTGATTTTTATGTATTCAATCCTGGAAAGATCCAAACTCTGAAGAATTTTTACCATTTCATTATAAATCTCAAGATGCCTAAATTGATCCTATAGAGCTCTTTAAGCCAAATCAAGGCTCAGAAACCAGCTATTCACCACTGTGTTCAGAATATGGATAACAGAAGCAGAGCCACAAAATTTTGAAGTGGATTTTATTATTTGCATTTTATTTATTGTTTAATATTTACCTATAATGTGAAGTGCGAGCTCAGCTCTAAGCTAGACCCTAATTCTAGAAGTTGTATGCGCAGCTAATTAGATGGTTTATCAACATGTTAAAGGATTCATTTTCCCTGGTTTTTTTTTTGTTTGTTTGTTTTTTGTTGTTGTTTTTTGTTTTTTTTTTTCAGCTATAAAAGAAGGGTGTTGCTTTTTCTCTTCCTCTTTACAAAATGGACAGTCAGACTGACAGGAAACTTCTGCCTGTCTGTCCTGGGAGAGCATTTCTGGGGATGAAGGTCAGTCATCTTCAGTAAGAAAATAATTAAATAGGAAACAGTTTATTTCATGGGGATGTTCCAAACGCTTCATGACGATCGTACTTTAAAAGAAAAGTTTAGCCTTGTTCTGCTGATTCTCAAAAGAATGGTTGCTACTTTTCCTCTGAGTGAGGGGCATAATCTCCATAGTGCAGATTTGTTACACGTGCAGGTTTGCTAAATGTTTTCTTCTTGTCTCTCTCTAGACAGGTGAATCCATACAGTTCTGGCTAGCTGTCAGTACTTGTTGGTTCCTAATCTGGGTCAGCAACCTGCACAATTTTAATGTCGCATTGTTCCCATAAAACATATTCCCGAGAAGGCTGAGAAGTGAGCTTATGTAATTCACTTTTTTTTTTTTTGTACTGGGGAAAAAGATCAGGTTTTTATTTATTCAACCTTGTAGTATGAAATAACTGAGAAATTCACATAGTACAAATGAAGATACAGAAGGGAGATAGTCCAAATCTCTCACCATGGAATGGCTTATCTATTGAACATTTTCCTTTATAAGCCCTGGCAACTCTGAAATGATGAAACTTTCACTTATCCTGTTATGAAGATGGGAAACTTGACACCAACTTGAACAGGAGTCAGCAGTATGACTTTCCCACTAAGAATGTTAATGGCATTCTTGGCTGCATTCATCAAAGTGTGAAGATCTTCCACTTGGTATTGTTGAGGTTGCAGTTGGAGCACTGTGCCCAGTTCTGGGCCCCCTAGTACATGATTCTGTGGATCATGTGTCTACTGGAAGATTTAGTTTGTAAGTATGAACCTTTTTTTTAGTCGTCTTTAGATGTAATATTTAGCTTCTCAATCTTGGCTGACTAAGTTCTATAAAACGGATGGGAAAATCATTGTGAAAAATATCTGCTTGGTATTGTCTTTCAGAACAAAATTGTTTTTAAATCTAAAAGCATTTCCATCTGCATAAAATGTAAAATTCACTAGAAAGCTGTTAAACATGTATAAAAATCCCTCGCAGTACAGTCTGCAGTCATTCAGTCAGTGTAGAATAGTCTCAGACATGTACGGATTGTCATCAGGTTCCTTCATCTCCAAGGGTCCT